ACGAAAATTGATTCAATTAAAAAAAAAAAAAAAAAGATTAGAAATAGTATACAATAAGTTCTTTTAGATATATAGATTTCCTACCGTATTAGGTGACAATTATGAGGGACCAATCTGTTCAACGCTTCCAGCGATTTTTCCGAGCGATACTCCTGCACAAATCCAACTAAATAAAAATTGAAAAAATCAAATAGAGCACGAGGAACGATTTCGAAAGAGTGAAAAAAATCATGTTACCTGTTGTAACAATGACTACCGCCTGTTTATTAGTTATTCATTACGAAATGAGCCTCAAAATCAACAAACTTATTTTAAACATCCAGAATGAAAGTAGTCATGTCTACGTACCAAGAAGACCGATAGTGCATCTTTTTGGTTCCCCAATATCAGGGAAATTACGGCCGAACAAAGAAGTAAAAGAACGAGAGGATTTTCAATGAATTGCTTAAAGAACTTAATTATTGGATTTTCCCCGGGTTCAACCTCAAATTCGTTATAACCACTTGCTTTCCTTTTGTTTGCAGCTTCGATGGATGAAAGCCCATTCTCTAAATTAGTACCAAGTTCCAGAGCGGTTTTTTCCACCGTATAGCGTGCGTAATGAGCCGAGGGCGTCGAAGATGTCATTTAGACTGATTATTTTGTGTCCAAGATTTTTGAGAACTTCGCGTTGATCCGAGAAACACTAGCGACCAAGCGCAAACAAACTCCGCCAATATGCTGTGCGCACTGTGGCTTGTCATCCCCTTACATAGCAATGAGATTTCCGACCCCTGTAGATTTTCAGAACACAATACTTATTGTTTTCTTAATATAGTCCCCATATTCTACAAATTTGAAAAGGAATTCATTTTGGTATTATTGGTTGACTGCACACAAAAAAGTATTGTTTTTGGTAGTATATTCCATGAACGAATTTCTCGTAATAGATCTTATATTATCCTTGATCCAGTCGATCTTGAAAGGCTTGGAGATGATCGATCAAAGCCTCCATAGCCACATCCCGTCGAACCAAAATGGAAGGGCCTTCAGGCTTGGGTAAAAATTTACATAAATTGTTGGGGCTAGAAAAAAAAATACTTGTCCATAATTTGTTCTCCATGTATACACGTGCTTTGCTTTAAGTAGTATAGATTTGC